CGCTGCGCTACCCCGAGGGGTGCGCCCGGGACCGGCCATGGACGGTAAGGGCCGCCGCCCAGCTGGGGCCGCGGGTGGGGATTCGTAGACGCCCGATCCCTGGTCCCGATCCGATTCCCATCACCTGGGCCTGGACAGCGGATCCCACCCGACTCTGGTCCGGCGAACCTCGACCCGGATCCCGATCCCCGGGCCTCCACCCTAAGCCGTCCTGAGGCCTGGACCCCAGACCCCTCCTGCGTCCCTGGCCCGCCATGGTTTCCTTCCCGCTAGTTCCATACTGTGAAAGAATAGCGACATCCTCTTCGGCCTGTGAGGCCGTGGAATGTGGGGTCAGAGGGTACCAGAAAAGGTGACAATTGCACCCTTTGACCCCAGCACACCACCCAGAGAAACAGCAGTGACCCAGTCAAAAGCTGTAAGTTCTTACTGCCCTAAGTTTGCCTCACAGCAGCTCTTTGAGATCGATGGGAGACAGGAGGCAGATGACTCCCTACTCCCCTTCCACTTCCGGGTGCCCTGAGCTCAGGGATCCTAAAGAACTAGAAGAGCTGGGTGTCGGGGACACACCTGTACTCCCAGCACTGGGCTGAGAGAGGAGGATCTGGAGTCCGAGGCCAGCCTTGACTACGTAGCCAGACCTTATTTAAAAGCAAAAAAAGAACTAGAAGAATCAATGACAAGATAAAGGTGCTTCCATTTGCAAAATGTTTATGATGTACTGGGGATCAAACTCAGGACCTTGCGCTTGTGAGGCAGGTGGCAATGCCACTGAGTTAAATCCCCCCGCCATGTGATAGACCTTTTTATTTTTAAAAAACACCTTCTGAAATGTACAAAACTGCGAACCATACCATTGTAAAGGAAATGTGCAAGAGCTGTGTGCAGATTGAATAGGCAGAGCCTGCCTACCTTAACTGCCCCCACCCACACACACACCCACACCCCTTGGAAAAGCTTAGTTTGGTGTCCCACAGCTCACTTGACTCTTTTAGGGGACTTTTCTTAAGCCCAGTAAGGCTCCTTTGATCACACCACAGTCTAGATGAGAGCACTGAGGCAGGTCTGGCCAGGTGGATGGGCCACACCTGGGCGACATTGTTTTATCCACCCCATGTCTGGTGACGGAGTTCCAGTTGACATTGGACTTGATCCATGCACTGAGGCATGGCGGTGTGGTGGTGGCAGAGCTCGTCCAAAATCCAGGTGTCACCTGGGAGCCTTGGTCTCATCTGTGGACACTTGGTGTGCACCTGGACTGCTGGGTGAACCTTCTTGGGAGCAGGGTTAGAAATTGAGTAGACTGAGCTCAGTCTGATCCACCTGGCCCTGAGTTTTGGTGAACAAGTAGCAAGTTTGGTCAGTGGTGCATTACTTAATACAGTCAAGTGTGGTTAGGGAAGGTGCTCTGAGCCTGATGCAGTGGCTAAGTGGCAGCTGCCACTGAGCCAACTTTGGTGGCCAAAGGGTTGTCACCTTGCTGTTGCCACTTATCTTTGGGAGATAGAGTATGTAAAAAAGTAGACTGTCAAATACTAAACCTTAAGTTAGGAAAGAATTCCAAGGTCTTTGGTGAAGTGTCATTGGTCGTAAATCACGGCTGCAGGTTCTTACCATGAGGGAGAGAGGGCTGTGCACACCCCTGGTGTATTCTCCGTCTCACCCTTTGTGGGTGGCTGTACTGTCCCATGTTCCCAGTGAGGAAAAGGTTCAGGGTGGGGGTCTGTGTTGGCTTGAACCCTGTGGCTGATAAGGACCAGGCTGGGCAGCAGCCCGGGTGAATGCCATCCACATCTGTGCTCCATGTTCCCTTCCAGTGTCCATGGGACCATCTAGTCTGTCTCTTGCTGGAAGGCACCACTTGTCATGTTTCTTAAAGACCTCAGACTTTTTCCTCTGTCTTTGCAGATACGCTGTTCCAGTTGAAGGTATGTGCCCAAGGACTGTCCATCCCAGCCCTGCCCTGCTGGTTAACAAGTGAAAAGAAGTGAAACAAGTCCCCAGAAACATGCAGATTCCCAGAAACAGTCAAGGGCAGATTGTAACCATTGAGCAACTGCCGCAGATTGCTGACCCAGGCAGGATCGTGGAGTAGCTGAATGATACATTGGCTCTTGTATTCCACTCAGTGGAAGCAGGTGACTCCATGAAAGAGCATCATCTTCAAGAAGCACAGTTCAGGTCTATGCGCATGCCTAGATGGTCTGCAAAGCATTTAAAACTCCCTCAAATCTGTGAAAAGTCTTTTCTTTTTGTGGTGGTACTGGGGATTGAACCCAGAGCCATCACCCTGAGCTACATCCCTCCTCCCCACCTTTTTTAAAATTTGAGACAGAGTCTCGCTAAGTTGCCCAGGCTGGGCTTGAACTTATGATCCTCCTGCCCCTGCTTCCCCAAAATTTAGGATTGCAGGCTGCTCTAGCGTCCCATCCCAGGTTACAGTCACACTGGAAGTGTGCTGTTGGGGTGGTGTTTGTAGCTTCGTAATAGCCCAGTGCTTCTGCTATGTTCCTTTAGAGCTTCCCACAGTTGTCACCCAGGATCAGCTTCTTCATTGCTGATTCTGAGATGCTGAGTGGGAGGAAGGTGCTCAAGCTGTAGGACACAGCTCTGGAATATTCTCACGGTACCTCAGACTCAGTAAGATGCCTTTGCTGTGGACAGACACCCTCACTACAACCATGACTATGGGAGACGCCAGGTCAGGGCCTACAGGGTTGTGAGCCTGTGCCATGCTGGTGGCCAGGCCCATCTCTGGCTTCAGACTGGGGTGGCCAGAGGTGCTTTGGGAACTCTGATGTCACTTCCTGTTGGTGTCGGTGGGGCAGTTAGGCCTCGGGGGTCAGATGTGCAGTCTTCTGTGAAGAGACTACTTCAAGGAGTACTTACCTGGAGCTCTGTGCTGTTTGGGGGCCACCCTGGAGCAGATTTGCTCTCCTAAGCTGAAAGAGAGAGCAGTCTCTCCTAAGCTGAAAGCCCTTCTGTGAGCAGCCGTAGGGTCAGTGTGGTGCTGTCACCCTGGCTGTAGGGGACGGTTGGGATTGGGGTGTTCATGAATTTTAGAAAGCCTGTTGTGGCCCTGTTCTCACAGAAATGAGGTGTCCTTCCTCACATGATGAGCGTCTTACAGCCCCAGGGTGGCCGCCATGACACACACAGGCAGGGCCTGAGAGGGCTTCCTGGATCCTGTGTATGTGACACATGGGTTCTTCCAGTTCACAGCAAAGCAGCTGGAGAAGCTCGCCAAGAAGGCGGAGAAGGATTCCAAAGCTGAGCAGGCCAAGGTGAAGAAGGTGCGTGGCCTGCCTGGGTCCAGGAATGTTTTTACCCATATTTTTAGTTTCTGTTTTGTTTTGGCATCTGTCCTTTTTTGTGTCATGATTTGAGCCGAGCAGGCACACAGGAACAAGGTGATTCCATCTTCAGCCTGTTGGTTTTCTCTGTCCTCCCTTATATTCCTTTCCTACCCCTGGGTTTACTCTGAGCTGTTGGGAATGGGCTTCTAGCTCTCCACCATGGTCCTGTTGCTCCTCCCGCCTCTCCTGTGGAGCTGGGCCTCACGCACTGGAGTCTGGTAGAGGTGCAGGCTGCCTTCCAGGGAATCAGAACAAGACTCATGAAGCCTCTGCTGGGAGAGGCCAAGAGAAGGAAAGCGAGAGGTGGCTACTCTTGGTGGAGACTGTGAGCCAAGTCCACGTGGCTCTTAAAATGGTACCTTGTTGGTGAAGGAGCCCTGTGGTGTGACTTGGGGACTTCTCATCCAGACTCACGGCTCCCAGACCAAAAGGATACAGGCAGCTGACTGTAGCCTGAGTCGCCGTGCTCTGTGCCTTTCCGCCTGTGGCTGGGCCCCCAGACCCTGAGTGTCACCCATGCTGCCCTGTGTTCCTGGGCTGAGCTCTTTGGGGGTCTGGAGCCCCCGCAGGCTGCCCACCGCCACCCTCCATCCTCAGAAGCCCATTCCTGTGCGGGCCTGGACCTCGCTCGTGTTCCTGATGTGCACCCTGGGGACGACTGCAAGTCCCCCGCAACAGTGAGCTGTGTCCCCAGGGGTTGGCACAAAGCTTGCTGCAGAGGGCCCTGACCACCCAGGTACCCACAAATGCTCCTCGGCTCTTAGGCCCTGCAGCAGAAGAATGTGGAGTGTGCCCGGGTATATGCAGAGAACGCCATCCGCAAGAAGAATGAGGGCGTGAATTGGCTGCGCATGGCGTCCCGCGTGGACGCAGTGGCCTCCAAGGTGCAGACAGCCGTGACCATGAAGGGGGTGAGTGCCCCCTTTGAAGGGTTCTGGTGACCAGAAGGGCGGTCACAGGGCAGAGGGAAGCCAGGTCTGCAGGAGCCATGCTGGCACAGACACCCGCAGGCTTGGAAAGGGATTCCCAGGTGAGGTCCACACAACTTCCCATGAGCCACAGAGGTCACGTCTGACCCCTTGGGAGCCCCACGGTGCTGTCACTGGCCCCCAGGTGTCCGTAACCTGGGTCTCCTGTGCATGTGGTTCAGCCTGTAGCATTTCCTGAGTCAGGGGAGCACCTGTGGGTGACCCTGTCCCATTCCACTGCCCTTTCTGGCCCAGGTGACCAAGAACATGGCTCAGGTGACCAAAGCACTAGACAAGGCCTTGAGCTCCATGGACCTGCAGAAGGTGTCTGCGGTGATGGACAGGTTCGAGCAGCAGGTGCAAAATCTGGATGTACACACGTCGGTATGTGGCCACGTGGCCTGTTGTTAGCAGTGTCTCAGGAGGGGTGGCTTGCTCCACAGATGCCCTCTGAGTGCATCTCTGGTGGGGCCAGAGAGAGGGTGGGCACTCAGCGCCCTGCCAGGGAGGCCCAGGCAAGCACAAGCACAAAATGGTGCGGGAAGTACCCCCAAGAGGTGGGCACAGAATGGCAGGGCTGGGTGGTGGCAGGAGGGCTCCCTGTGGGCGGCAAGGGTCTGGAGCAGAGGCACCACACAGATGGGGTGGGGTGGGATGGGGCTCCGCGAGTCTGGGGTCCCTGTGGCCCAGTCCCCACTGCCCCGACATCCCCTCAGGTGATGGAGGACTCCATGAGCTCGGCCACCACACTGACCACGCCCCAGGAGCAGGTGGACAGCCTCATCGTGCAGATTGCCGAGGAGAACGGGCTTGAGGTGCTGGACCAGCTCAGCCAGCTGCCCGAGGGCGCCTCAGCTGTGGGCGAGAGCTCCGTGCGCAGCCAGGAGGACCAGCTGTCGCGGAGGTGGGGCCGTGCCCTCCGTGGGATGGGGTACTTGGTGTCAGCCCTGTGATGACTCTTCTGTCATGCGGCTCAGTTGGGGCGGGGTCTTTGCTGCTCCGGGCCGGCTTCTGTCAGTGCTGCTGCAGGACAACCTTGTGCTGTGGAGACCCAGGGGGATGACAGTGGTGCTGAGGTGGGGCTCTGGGTCCCATGTGACAGGGTGTGGTGTTTCTGAAGCCCTGCCCTGCCCGTCTGAGTCTTGCCTTACCTTCCAGGTTGGCTGCCTTGCGGAACTAGCTGCCCACCGTTCTGGCTCTCAGAGGCGCCTGTCCCCAGCTCACTCTCCTCACCCTGCAGAGCTGCAGCCGCTGCCTCCCTGCTCCTCTCACCCCCGGGCCTGGCAGCCTTTGGGCTGATCCTGTTTGTCCTGGGTTGGAGAGTGGGTCCACTCTCTGTGTCCTGGAGTAGAGTTGGCACAGATGTGTGTGGGTAACGTCTGTGACCCTGGACTCCCCTGCGTCCCCTGCTGTGGTTGTAACTGTTGACTTGCTGCTCCCTGCAGCTGGAGGGATCCTGGCTGCCCACTTGACAGGCAGCTCCCCGACCCCCGCACTGCCCTGCAGGAGAGGAGAGTGGACCTGTGTGTCAGGGATGTCGAGTGCCACCAACACCGCCCTAGGCCTCTGTGGGAGGAGCCCCTGCCCCTCTATCAATCCAGGCTGGGCCCAGCCACAGCTGGCAGCTGCTGATCCTGCTTGGCCTCCTGCCCTCACTCAGTTCTGAAGGGACAGCCTCGCCCGGCCCCTCATCCTCTTGTGGCCCCACTGGAGGTACCCTGGGCTGAGTTCTGTATCTCCCACATCACTGACTGGAATCTGGGCTCCTGTGGTGGCACCACTTCCTGTCCTGGTGCCTCTCTGTGATGCCACCCTGTGTCTGTCCTGCCATGTAAATGACAGGTGACCCGAGCTGCCACCCGCCTGCTCCTCCGCTCAGAAGCCTGGGGGGCTCTGTGAGGAGAGCCTGCCATGGAAGGGCAGCTGGGCGGACCGAGGGGCTTTGGGTACAGGCTGCTGTTTTGGTTTCTTTTTTTCTATCCTAAAGTTTACTTCATGGTCTTGAAGCTCCCAGGGTTTTGGGGTTCTGGGTGTTTTGTTTTGTTTGTTTGTTTGTTTTGCCAAAGTAGAAAGTAGGTGACCTGCAGGGCGTAGACTCTTCCCAAACACGCAGCATTTGGCTCTCTCTGGACCTGCAGACCGGGGTAGTGGGGCCTAGCTTTTGGGGTCCAGGTGCTATCTGGCTGTGTCCCTTTCAGACTCCCCACACAGTGTTGTGTGGGGTGCTGGTTGGGTAGGGGTGCAGGGGGTCATGAAGGAGGGCAGCATGATCACCCTTGCCCTAAAGTGCTGTTGGAAGTAAATAAGTTGATCCTTGAAAACTCTCAAGTTTTTCTTTGGTGGTCTTGGCTGGGCAGGGGAGCCACAGGTGAGACCCCAGGCGCCTCCTCCCTTACCTCCAAGCAAGGAGTTGGAGGCAGCAAGGGTGCGCTGCAGTCATGCGACTGATCACTTTGTGAACTGACATCAGCCTTGCTCGCATTGTGCTCAGCCAGCATGGCCTGTCCAGCTTAGCACCTGGTGCCCGGTCGCCTCACAGCGATCCTTACTGCCTGCCCGGTGGCCTCACTGCCCACTCCTCAGGGTTCCAGCCCTCTTGTCCCTGCTCGGCCAGCGCAGCCCTGATTGCGCCCAGTGGGAATGGTGTGGAGAGCCCAAGTGCACCCTGCAGGGGGCGTACAGCTGCCAGACGTGCACGGCCGCACGTCCTCTGGATAACCAAGAGCCACACATTCATGCCACGCTGTGATTTGCAGCCTCAAAGCCCTTCTGTGCAAAACCCCTTCCCAGTTAGCAAAATAAGGAGTCCCACCTCAGCCCCTAGACCCTGCATGTAACTTTTTCCCCTGCCATCCCCAAAAGTTCTGGCTGACCTTGACCATCTGAGTCCATGCCAGGCATGTTGTGAGGGGTGGAGAAAAGCCAAGCCTCTTCCTGTGCCCCTGCCAAGACCCTGGGTGGGACAACACTGCCCCACTCCTGGGAACCAGCCTCGGGCTGTGGTCACTGCACATCCAGTCTTCGCAGGCCAGGGACGGATACACAGCTGGGTGCCTGCCTGGCCCTCACTGGTGTCCACAGGCCAGGTGGGGCAGCACTGGCAGAGTAGGCCCTGCCCACGTGTCCAGGTGGCATGGGTGCAGCAGCTCCCACCTGGACACAGTGCCAATGAACCAACCCCATGAGCCACTTCAAAATGCCCTCAGCTCTATGGAAGGTACTGAGCCTGTACCCTGACACAGAGGGCGAGTGGGTGGTAAGGTGCTACCACCTGTCCCTGGGTCTAAGGGACCTGCCCCTCAGGTTGGGTGCCTGGAGTCTCATGGTCCCCCTCCACAGGAGGCTGATGGGGACATGCTCTGCAGATGCAGGGTCCTGAGTCTCTGCTAGAGACAGATCCAATGACAGGATGGGTGTGCCATGTGCGGGCACAGATGAGTGCACACAGGGGTACACAGGGCTGTGGCATAGGCTTGTGAGTGTCCGGAGGTGAGGTGAGGTGTGTGCGTGGTGCGTGTAGCATGGCCACTGGAGCTGGCTGTGTCTCCTGAGTCCCTGCACAGTGTGCAGTGTCCTTTGCTGAGGTCCTGGGCTGCCCCCTGGTCCTCGCCTCCAGTCCCCAGCCCAGTGTCCCTAGGGTCTTCCTCCCTAAGCCTGCCCTCCAGGGCCGAGGTGCTGATGACACAACTCAGGAGTGAAGGGGCCAAGGCTTTATTGGGCTCCTCTGTGTCCAGGCACTGGGCCCCTGCTCAGGAGCTGCACCTGTGAGGACGCAGGACCCTGCATTGCACAGCACGTCCCTATCAGCCTCACGTGGGGGGGAGCGTGAGACTCCAGGCCTCGCTCCTGGTGGGTGCTGGCATCTGGGCATCACAGAAGACACAGGCCAAGGAGCAGGGGAGCCAGGGAGGCCAGGAGGGCACCTGGCCTGTGGAAGAGGCTGGGGGCTGCTGAGTAGCCATACTGCGTCCTGCAGGAGCCGTGCAGCTTATTCAGAGCAATGGGCTCCTCCTCAGGGGTGCGCGTGAGGTCACTCTCCTGGGCACGGGTGGACAGGGTAAGGTGGTGCCAGTGGGCAGTGTGGGGTGCGGGCGGCCCCTCCTCACCTTCTCCACTGCCTTGAAGACCCTCAGCAGGTTTTCCGCCAGGGCGCCCTTGACCTCCTCCTCTGTCCAGCCCCTCCGGAGCAGCTCGGCCACTAGGTCTGGGTACTTGGAGACATCCTCCAGCCCCTCGGGCAGCCTGGTGGGCCGAGGCATGTGCTATAGGCCCCGCTGCTCCAGAGCACGGTAGCCAGATCCCTGGTGCCCTTCCTTCCCTGGCTCAGGACGCGCTGGCTGCACCCTTACCTGGTCACACCATCGTAGTCCCCGCCAAAGCCCACGGCTTGGGCCCCGGCCACCTTCTTGATGTGGTCCAGATGGTCTGGGGGAGCACAGCTCGTGAGGTCCCTGGCCAGGCCCAGCCACACCCCCCTGGCTGCCCCTACTCACCAGCCACCTCAGTCAGTTTGGCCTTTGATGAGCAGGTCACATAATCAGTGTAGAAGTTCACCATCACCAGGCTGCCTGTGGCCTTCTGCTTGGGAGAAAAGGGCACTGAGCACTGGCCAGGATCCGGAGGGGGCAGCACCACAGCCTGTGCCCAGCCTCACCACCAGCTGGAGCACGTCATCGGGAACATTGCGCTTGTGGGTGCACAGCTGGTAGGCAGATGAGTGGCTGAAGATGACCGGCGCTGCGGACAGCTGCAGGGCGGCCTTCATAGTGGCCACCGACACGTGGGCTAGGTCGATCATGACACCCAGGCGGTTCATCTCCCGCACCACCTTCTACAGGTAGGGACAGGGTTGGGTCAGGCCATGGAGCAACTGGGCCAGGGCAGGTGACTACTGGGGCCACTCGGCTGTGTTGGACACCAGTGGGCCCATGAACACCGCCCCGGATGGGCACAGCAGCCCTACTTCGCTGGGGAGGAAGCCGAGTTTCTGAGAGTTGAGACCCCGTCCCCGTTGCCTCCTAGGTTCCCTGACTGAGCCCCTCACCTTCCCAAACTCTGACAGCCCCTGGCTCTCAGCCTCATCGTCCCCTGTGTCCACCAGCCAGTTGTCAGCCCTGCAGGACAAAGAGCGGGCATAGAGCACGGAGGGGTGGCCTCCGCCCCCACACCCACCAGGCCGAGGCAGGTGCCTGGGGGCAGCTGTGGTGGCGCACATGCCCGACCGCAGCCCTGCACCACATGACACCCCTACCAGGGCGTGTTGCAGCTGTGGGTGAGGGTCAGGTAGCGCATCCCCAGGTGGTACAGCGCCCGCAGGACGCCCAGGCTGCTGTCGATGGAGTGGCCACCCTCCACGCCTACCAGGCTGGCCACCTTACCCTCCTGGAAGGCCTTCTCGATCCCTGCAGGGGAAGAGGGGTTGGCATCCAGGGGCCGGGTCCCACCACGCCACACCGTCACCCCTGCCCACTCAGGCCAGGCCCACCTTCACTGCTGGTGACGCACGCAAAGGTCTCTGGGTAGGCCTGGCACATGCGGTGGATGACGTCAATCTGCTCCAGCGTCCTCTTCACGGCGTCTTTGTCCTGGGTGTCACAGGGTACGTACGCAGACCAGAACTGGAGGAGAAGGAGCTGAGGGCCGGGCCCTAGCGTGACCCCGTGTCCAGACAGCGCCCCACTCACAGGCCTCGGGACAGGCAGTGCCCGAAGAGGCACAGAACTACCTGGCCACCCACGAAGCCGGCCCGCAGCTTGGGGATGTTGGTGTGTGTGTCAGCCAGGGTGCTCAGGTTGGCCCTCTCTTCCCGCAGCTGGTTGTTGAACTTGGTCAGCAGCTGCCAGGGCAGGTCGTTGTGCCTAGGGGCACAGGTACCCAGTGTGGGGGTGCAGGCTGCCCTGTCTGCCAGACACACCTGCGCACTGTGAGCACCCCACTGTGCCCCAGCACAGTTTCCTGAGACTCCTCCGCCCGTAAAGGACCTGGTGGCCAAGCAGGCTCTGTGAGGGCCACCTCCAGCTGCCTGGCAGGCCCCAGACCCCTGGGGCAGAGGCCAGGTGTCACTGTGAGCTCCTTGAAAATGCAGGCTCAGGCTGGCAGTGCCCACACACTGGGAGGCTGGAGACTCCCCGAGCCCCAGATAGCACACCATCAGCACTGTATGGTGCCAGGAGCTGTAGGGCTGGCCTCAGCCACTCCATCCACGCCTCTTCTCAGACCCCAGCCCCCTCTGCTCCGTGCCTCAGTTTCCCCTCTGTGGCACAGAGAGACCTTGGCAGTTTGCGCAGAGGGGTGAACAGGGTAAATGAGTAGCACTGACGTGGGGTGTGGGCCTGTCCTGAGATACACGTCCCAGTTTCCTCCCTGGGCAGACGTGGAGGCGCTCGCTCACACACACACTCCAGGCACAGCAGTTGCACAGGCGGCCTCGTCCTCCAGATGTCAGGTGATTACATAATGGCTCCCTCGGGCCATGTGAACTCCCTGTCCAGGATCTACCCCGGGGGCTGAGGCAGGCGGGCCTTGTGGCTCCTCTAGAAAACTTGTCCCCACCTGGGCAGCAGTCCTGGCCTCTCCTCTGCCAAGGGGCACAGGCTTCAGCCCCATCTCAGCTGGGGCTCTGGGGGCCTCTCTGGGCACCAAGGAAGCTGCCACAAGGGTCACTTTCCAGGACTGTGGGATTTACATAACTTGAGGGAAGGGCTCTGCCGGGCCCCTGCACAGACTGATCAGGAAGCATTCCTGAGCGAAGGAGTGGGTGGGTGGGTGGGATGAATGGAGGAACAGGTGGGCGGTGGACTGAGGGTGCTTCACCGTGGGCCCCTCCTTGCTCTGCAGGGTGGGGCTGGGCAGGGCTCTGGGCGGGACTTCAGTCCTCTGCCTGAGGACAGGCCTGACCCGTGGAGGAGACAGGTAGAGCCCCGAGGGTAGGGAGAAGCCACACTGTTCTCGGCCCCTCCTTGCCCCCAGCCCTCCCTGGTGGGGGACCAAATGCCAGGGCAAAACCCGAGCTCCACTTCTGGGACAGGGCCACCTCTGCCCACTGGCAGGGGCACTCCAAGCTGCCAGACGCCCCCCCACCGCCGTGTGGCTCTGCATGATGACCTCAGCAGGCAGAAGAGGCCAGTCATTCGTAGGACACTATTGGTGGCCCATGTTATCCATTCTCTTCTTTTCCTTGATAATAAGCCCCACATTTTTAGCAGGACATCTGCTCACTTGGAATAAAAAGACTTCCTGGCCCCTCTGTAGCTGGGCATGGCCTTGTGACTACATTCTGTCCTGTGGTTCCAGAAACTCTCCTTGATAGGTGGCTATTCGTATACCCCTTGTCAAATCCTCCTTCTTGTTTGCTAGTGTAGTGATGTGATGGCTGGAGCTGGGGCAGCCATCGTAAATCATGAGAAACGGCAGCCACTGAGTTCCTCAAATCAGAGGGCTTCTGTGTTGTTGGGACTGCTTGTTTGGGTCTCTTATCTGAGATCAAACCAACCGGCCCTCAGCCTGGTCTGGCCTTCTGCCACTGGAAAATCCCAGTTCCCTACATCCCAGATCCTTACCCATTCCTGTTTCTTTTGGGGCCCTCTTATGACTCCTCTTCTCTGCACAACTCCCAGTGCCTGCCTCCCTCTCTGTGCCCAACTGCCCCAAGTCTGCCTGGAAGTGAAGCGGCCATTCCCAGCCTCCCTGGTCCAGAGCTGGACTCTTCTGCTGGTGCTCAGGTGCCCTGCTGCAGTCAGAAGGGATCTACGGAAGAGGAGCCTGACCCACATGGCCAGCAGGAAGCAGAGAAGCTAGGGTCAGGCAGGGGCAAGGCTGGATGAAGCCGGTGGGGAGTGGCAACTAGGAGGGGAGCCACTGGCCCCAGCCTCAGTGCTGCTGGTCCCTGGAGCCACGGGGGAGGTGACCACTCCCTGCATCCCTCATGAGGACTTTTCTCCAAAATGCCCAGTGGCCCCTGCTAGGTGGCAACTGTGTGCCTGGCACACACAGGTGCTCTCGGTGCCCCTGCCTGCCCAGAGCCTGGTGTGCGCAGCGGCCTGCCTTCCAGCAGCTAAAGTGGGGTGGGAGGGCCGCATTTACACAAGTGGGGTTCCCACTGTACAGGAAGAAAAGGGTGAATGGCTGGGCATGCAGAGTGGGTCCACGAGGATACAGGTGACAGCTGGGAAGAGGTGGGGGCTGGGAGAAGTGGCTAAGTGTCCCGGGGCAGCCGGGGGAGGTGGGAGTCAGATGAGCACAGCGTCCAGGGGCACGGCAGACCCCGAGAGTGGGGGTGAGAGCTGGGGACTGGGGTGCTGGATCTCTTGCCCCAAGCTGGGGCCTGGCCACGCCACTCCCTGCCCCATCCCCCAGACACCTCACTGCAGAGCCTTCAGCCATGCCAGGCCCCAGAGACCTGAGACCCACGAGAGCCTGGGACCGCACCCTGGGCAGAGGACCTTGTGGTCCTATACTCACCCGTCGATGACAGGCGTGACCCGCATAATCGTCTCTGCCCGCTCGCGGAACGTCTGCCCAGCACACACGGCCACCAGGGCCCAGAGCCACCAGCTGGTCCACATGGCAAGGCTGAGTTTGCTTGACACCTGGCCAGTGTGGCAGAGGATGTGGGGCATGAGGAGCTGCTCCACTGAGGCGGAGGAGGCCTTTGGTCCAGGCATTCGCCCTGGGTCCCATTTACAGCCCTCATGTTAACGAGTAACCAGCTCACTCCTTCCCAGCCCGGGCAGGGTAGACAGTTGCCACCCAAGGGCTGGGTGTCCCTGCCAGGCTCAGCAGGGCCATAGCTGGGCAGGGGCCTGGGAGGAGACAATGGCCTGGGGAGCAGGCAGCACGGGGCAGGTGCGATGAGTGTCAGCTAGTCCTGGGTGTGTCCTAGCCTGACCTGCTGGCCTCTGCCCAGGATGGCACTGGACCCCTGTGGGCCCCAGGTCGTGGGGGCTGGGTCGAAGGGAGTCACAGTCAGCCTTGTGCAGCCCCTGGGGCAGGTGCCTGGGCCTCTGAGCCTCAGTTTCCCTGTGGCTCTGTCCTTTCTAGCAGGGCCTGAGTGGGCTGGTGCTGTGCCTTCCTCAGCTCCCTCCACCCTGCACTGGGACCTGTGCTGAAGGTCCTGTGGGAACTAGGGGACCGTCTAGGGCTGCCCTGTGCCCAGTGCCTGCCAGGCACACAAACCCCACACATCCTCCTCCCAGAGCTCAGGGTCCGCCATGTGGGCCGCCGGCCTCTCTTTCCGGGTCCCAGCCACAGAGTCTCCTGGGCTCAGGCTTGGAGGCTTGGAGGCTGCCTTGTGGGGTGGGGCTGTGGCACCCTTTCCTGTTAATTTCCACTCTTTGTTTTTGTCCTTTTGTTTCCGAGGTCTTAAATGTTTTTAAGAGCACACAATTGCCCGCTTCCTCAGACAGCTTCTTCTGGGGATTGGGATAATTCAAGCCAGGGCGGGGTCTGCACTCTTAGTTGGTTTTGCTACATTCTTCAAGTCATCCCTCGCCCAGCTCCCACAGTTGGAATGCTCTCTTTTGTATCACTACTGTGCATTTCCCTCATATTTTATCAGTTAAATTTAACCTATTATTTCCTCTCAAAATAGAGATTCCTTAACTTCTGCTAGGAGAAACAGTGCACACCTGTAATCCCAGCTACTCAGGAGGCTGAGACAGGGAGATCGCAAGCCCAGGCAAATTCAATGCTGGCCTGGGCAATTTAATGAGATCCTGTCTCAAACAAGCAAACAAATCTTTACTTCTTAACATACATTTAACTGTAGCAACACATTTCCCTGGATTCATTGTTTCCTGTGCGCTTTATTTCCTCTGGGAGCATCTATTCCATGTCTCAGTGTCCCCAGTACTTTCTTGGGCAATTTCCCCAGAAATGCTGGCATCACAGCTGGATTCTTGGGACCCTGCAGCCCCGTCTGGGCTGACGTGAGAGCGACCGGTGGATCTGTGTCTGGGACTCCCTCACCCTTCCAGGGTGGGCCAAGGTGTCTCCTGGACTTTGAGCTTCCTTCTCGGTTCAAATTCGGTTTTGAGTTGGCTGATTTTTTTTTTTAAATTCTTGGGGTAATCTTTTGTAGTAATTTATTAGTTCGAAAGCCAAAGGAAAGGAGGACTTGTCACAGCCCTCTCAGCCTCTGCACTTCATGCTTGGCCCCTGGCATCCTTTATTTTTCTGCGGTGTTCAGAACGGAAACCAGGGTATGGTACAGGCCAGGCAGGCATCTTCGATGGAGCTGCACCACAGCCCCTCAGTGCAGTATTTCTAAAACTCTACATTCGTGAAAAAAAAAAAAATCCATGCTGAACAAAAGTCTTAAATAAAGGACAAGGTTGGTATGTGAGCTTTTCTTTTTCTCTACGTGACGTGGCTCCGGGCAGCGCCGAGCTGTCTAGGACCATCCCTGTTCTCTTCTGTGACTTCAGCCACCCACATCCCCTCTGCAGAGCAGGGCAGGGGCTTTTCCTGGGCACAGCCATCCTTAGGTGGACCCAGGGTGAGGCGAACACAGCCCTAATTCAAGCCTATGAAGGGTCTCACGATGCCAAGCACAGAGCCTGAGAGTGAGGGCCCAGCTAGGGTGCCGGCAGCCTGGACTGGGTGGATCTCAATGGCATCTTCCCTGAGGCTCAGAACCACCAGCTTCGCTTGCCGTGAGTGCGGCCCCGCGTGTGGCCCTTGGGCTTCACGTCACACTCCTGGGCTCCCGTTGTGCACTGGCCAATGGGTCCATTCCTCAGCCTCAGCTGTTGGCTAGAAACCACTACGGTGCTGACGTCTCTGGAATAGGAGTGACTCTGTGCCTCTGGGACGGGGCCCGCGGCCTAGGCTGTCTCCTTGCCCAAAAGGGCTCCCTCCCTAGGGCCCTGCTGCTCATCCTGGAGTTCCTGCAGCTGCAGCCACCCGCACACACGACGCACCGTTCACACCCTTGTATCTCCTCATCCCCACTCCACAGCCTGCTCCCCTCCTGGCCGAGGGTGCAGGGAAGCGGTAGCTACCCACACTTTGCGCTTCTGCGCCTTTGCCTTGCAGTTGTTTGGCTGGAGCGGGTCCTCGAGGTTCACAGCTGAGCCCTAGGCATCCGTGTGAGAAACTTCTGCCCTTGTGCCCATCTCCAGTCCTGCGGATGCGTAGCTCTGAGTCGAAAGCCACGTGCCCTGAGCCCAGGCTCCACAGTCAGTGTCGGGGTCACCACCGGTGGGAGCAGCACCCAGAGTGCTGTCTCTGCCTGGCCTCAGGCCCTCTCTTCATCCGCGCAGTCCTGCAGTTTCCCAGCATGCGGGGATGAAGGCTGTTCTGTCATGGCAAAAGGTTGTCCATCTGTGGGCCTGGTTTCTGGATATCCCACGTGACCATCTTTGAAACCCTGCAAGGGTGCGAGGACGTTGGGTCTGGTCTGTGTGGCGGCTGCGTTAGCTGCCCGGTCAGCCAGCTGGTTTCCTTTTGTGACAGAGTCCTGTCCTCTTCGGTGCCCTCGGCGGTGCATGAGGGCCTCCGTTCTGGGTTCCCAGATGCTTCTGGGAGTTGGTGGGTCTCTCTTTTAGTTTTAATCTGTTTCCCCTGCTGTTCACGTCCTCTCTCTTTGTACATTGCCGTAGACAGCACAGCGGCAGAGGCGTACTCTGAGTCAGTATAAATGCTGCCCGGCTTTCCTCGAGCCCATCGGAGGGCTCGGATGAGGGCCCAGAGCTCTGCTCTCGGCACCGACCCCTCCAGGAAGGGGCCGCCTCGATGACCTGGTCGGCGGCAGTGACTGCACCCTGCCAGTCGCTCTCCGTCCGGCAGGAAGCTGCCGCCGTCAGTGAACAGGCTGGCATCTGGCTGGGGCGTTGGCTCCTCCGTGAGGTCAGGTCGGCTGGAGCACACCTCTCAGTTCCTTCCTCACCGTCGTCGTCTGGCTGGCCCTCCTCAGCAGGCAGGGAGGGGACAGGGTGTAAAGTCCGCACTGGACTGGGATTTTTCACAGAGTTGCCCCGGATATCAGGCCATTCTGGCCTTTGAGAGCCATTCATGTCCTTGATTGTGTGTGGGGTCACAGCAGAGGGGAGGACTTTTACTCAGAGGCTCTGTCCCAAGGTCAGTTTGTCTGCCTCCTTGATGAGAGTCACAGCTGCCAGAGGACCGAGGCAGGGGATCATCCTCTGTATCAAGAAAAAAAGGTATAGACTGGTCCCCAACTGTCATTTCAACCAGGTGCCCAGAGTGAAGGAGCCCAGTCTTCCCTAATTTGACTCTGTCTCTTCGAGTCCAACCTGGCTAGGCGTCCGGGCTCACACTGGTAAGGAGAACCGGCACTGTTGGGAGCTGGCCGATTGAGTGCAGGGCTTGGGCTGCTGTTTGGAGCCAGTGAGATCAGAAGCTTTTGGCTTGGGGTGCTTTGCTTTTGGTTGGGACATTCAGCTTTCCAGTGTCTGATTTCTTTGTAATAGGTACATTGGTCAGGGTGCAAGGGTATCTGTAGTTGGTTTCCCTGACCTACATGATGGTCCCAGGCTGTAAATAGGATCTAGTTTTCTGAGCACAGCCACAAAGAATGAGACCTTTTGTTTTATTTTTCTTTCTGCCTCTCATTGGGCTTCATGGTCTCAGTTAACAAAGAGTTTTGTGGTGACCTCAAGCAGCTCCAAGCGGCGTTCATGCCGGTAAACTCCCCAAGGTTTCGGAGTTTGTGGCAGATGTCAGGAGCAGGCTGGGCCACAAAAGCAGCATCGACCATGCACTGATTTTCAGCAGTCTCAAGAGTGAACAGGGTGAGGATGTGGAACACCTCATGGTCACTCATCGAAGTCACTGGGTGATTCTGTCTGTCTTCTGTGGCACGGAAGCAGTCTTGGACTTGTTACTTGGCTTTTTGGCAGCAGCACATACCCCTTGGAGATGGCCCTGAGGTGTCTTTCGAGGGCCTCTTGTCCCCTTGTGGTGTGAAAGTCCCGTTGCGGCCTGGTCTCGGGAACCATCTCTTGGCCCGATCTGTTGGCTCTTGGCTGGTGGGCACCAGACCCTGGGGTCTCAGCAGTGATTCTTCACCTCTCTTCTGTGTTGAGCAGGGTGTAGAGCACTGGCGGCAGTCACCCCACTGGGCAGGTGGGTCTGGAAGCCGGACTCCACGAGACCAGTGAGGGCCTGGGCTTCTCAGAGTGTGAGGCAGTGTGTCGTTCGTTCCCAGCTCAGATCAGCTGCGGTGAAGTGCTGCTGGTAGAGGGTGGTAGCAGAGCCTGGGCTGGACGGCATCATTGTCCAGGATGCGGGGTGGAGGTTGGGTCTCACGGACCGGCAGCTGGATACCTGGGGCTGAGCCGACTGCAGACACCTGAAGAGAGGCATCTCAGGAGAAGCATCTCGCGTGGGATGGTGGAGGGGTTGGAGGATAGAGCCAGGAGAGGCAGATAAAGAAGAGGCCGGGCCGGAGGTGGTGGAGAGGGCCCGTCAGGGGACTTGGAAGTGGACTGGCTGCTTGAGCCGGTGGCGGTGGGATGGCGGGCGGGGCCGGAGTGCGGGGTTGAAGGCTGGGAGCTCTCAGGAAGAACAGGAGCCAGTGGAGGAGCCGCAGGCAGCGGCTTAAGGAGAGGAGGCAGCGGCAGAGGATGCTCTTCTGGTGGACCCCGTGGAATCCGTGTTTTCGGGGTCTTGAGGGGCTGGCCGCCACTTTGGGCTACAAAAACCTGACTCTGTTCCTTCTTACTAATGCAGAATCGGACCCAGGCTGGTAGGGTCTGAGCAACCTCGGCCAAGAATGGATGAAGGGAACGGGTCGGGGTGGCCTGGCTTGTCGCTCAGACTGCGCTCACCATCTGGACATCCAGTTCCTTCAGGGGCCGCCCTATTTCACAGAAATCCGCAACTCGTGGGCTTTAGTTTAACTCCACATCCCCCGCTAAATCCCTTCCTCAAATTCTGCTCCATGCAGTCCAAGACACTGAGTTTGCTGTGCTTGTTACCCGTGGTGTATGTGGTGCCCTTGAACGATGCTACAACACCGGAAGGGTGTAAGGAAGGGTGCCTCCCAATGGAGACCACACAGGTGTCCACCTGGCTGCGTCCCTCAAGGGAGCTTGGGCACATTTTGGCTAAAGTGCACGGGCACCCCCCCACCCGGTCAGCCTCTTGTTACAGGAGGTGAGTCACTCTTATGCGGCTGTACAGCAGGTGAGGACCAATCAGACTCCATAGCCGTGGCCACGGAGCCACACGCACCAGTTGTTGAGGGTAACGCCAGTCACACTCACACACTCGACAGTCATTCAAAGGTTAAAACATTCCATCCACCCTCAGGGGGTCCCTGACCAACGTCTCTGACTTGAGTCCCTGAGAGGTGATCGGCATCTCCTTCTGTCCTGTGAGACAGGATGACTGGGTCTGAACTGGACCTTGGGGCCTTACCTTATCCTAAACTCCTGAAGGGGTTTTTCGTCCACCTCTTCTCCCAAGTTTGGTCAGGAAGAGCAAGCACAATTGGAGATCACCCTCATTCAGGAAGGAGGAACCACCAAGCTGGGCAGAGACACGCCCTCTCGTTTTTTGGAGAGGGCTCCCAGCAGCCGGACTCCGAGCTGGTGGTTCAATGGGCCAGCACGACTGGATTCCTGGTCAGGGAACAAAATGTTGTGGCAAAGTGGAAAAGCTCAAGTTTACAGCCAAGTGTTGGCAGTTTGAAAATTCAAGTATCAGCCGGCTGGCTCAGAGAAGTAGCCAAATTGCAGTGAGAGATACCGTTGGGGAAAGGAAGTTGAAAGGAACCTTATAGAGCAAAGACAGCTAGAAGCAGGAAATTTAGGTAAAAACATCAGGTACTGACAGTTACATTGTTTGAACAGACACTTTTTTGGAGACAGGGTCTCACTATGTAGTTGAGACTGACTTGGAACTCACTATGTAGCCCAGGATGGTCTCGGACTCTCAGCGATCCTCCTGCCTCAGCCTCCCCAGTGCTGGGATTACAGGAGGGTGCCACCACGCCCAGCTCTGAACAGAACACTTTTGATACATTGAGCAAGTACATCCTGGAGCACAAACAGTCACAGAACATTTTGCTACACTGGGCAGGAACACCTTGAAGCCCAAATGGTTACATTTCTGGGACAGAACATCTTATGGGGAAAAAAAAAAAAAAAAACCCACAGGGCAAGACAAAGGCCTGCCGGGCTGTGCCTTATTATTGTTTCATCAGTTCACTGCCTGCTCCGCCATCCCTCGGGGGGCCGCCCTCCCTCGGGCTGCCCCTCTGCCCCCTCCCTCTGCCTGCCTCCGCTTGCCTCACCCCGATGTTGCCCAGCCTGTCTGCACTTTGTGGGCCACACCGGGCTTTCTTGTGCTTTTATTCTGTGCGTGGCAGGATGCACCACACTGTTTTCCGCGCTTCTGTGTTTCTCTTGGGAATTTCCAGGCTGGCCTCCCATAAGCTCTCTCCTTGCTGCCCTTTCCTCTGTATCCTGCTGCTCTCATGGAAGCCGCATCTCAGATATGGGTCGGCAGAGCTGTTTCCTTTTGCTCTTTTTGGGTGCTGAGTGGGCTCCAGCCCCCTTTGCCTGTTCGTCTAGAACCTTTGCTCCATTCACAGCTTTCCTTACCAGCTGCACATCTGTCCTTCACACTGGAGCCCCTGTGGTCTCCAGGGGCTGCCTGGACGTAGACAAGACGACAAGGGCTTCCAGAGAGTCAGGAGCCTACCTCCCCGGAAGAAGCCGGGGGCCCAGGGGCCCAGAGGCCCGGACGGTGCTACCTGGCGGTGTATGCTAGGGTCCTGTGTCAGCCAACCCTGGTGCAGCCCTTCGTCCCACGGTGCCTGCCCTGCCTATGTCTGAGCTGCGTGCTGTGCCTCGCAGGGGTGGGGAAACTGCGTGTGTCCACCCCCTGCAGACCCCACAGGCTGTCCTCACCCCATCAGCAGCTCCTCCGTGAGTGCACTGAAATCTCAGCCTGCCGATGGCCCTTCACTCTGACACTGCGGGTTCTGTTTTGGGGGATTTGTTTGTTTTGTGTGTGTAATACTGGGAATAGAAGCCAGTGCCTTTGTACTGAGCTATATCGCCTAACTTTTTTTTTTTTTAATTTTGAGACAGGTTATCACTAAGCTGCTAAGTTGCCCAGGCTAGGTTCAAACTTGCAGTCCTCCTGCTTCAGCCGCCCGAGTGTTGGAAATACAGGTGTGTACCACATGCCTGGCAGGGTTCTGTTGTAATTGCTGCTTTTTCTGGTGGCTCTGGATGTCATGCACAGTGTGGTTTTTGGCATCATCCTGTCCTTGGGTGACACTGGTCTCCCTCTCTTCTCTCCGTGGGATTCCAGAGGGAGAGAGGCGGGCCTGGTAGGGCAGCAGAATCCTGGGGCCTGGCCTCCTGTAGAGGGCCACTGTTAGGGGAGAAACTAGGAGATGGAGCTGGGCACGAGGAACACACACTAGAAACCAGACAGCCTGGGGTTGGCTCCTGGTGGGCAGGTGGCCTTTCCCCGCTGACGACTGCCCTGAGGCCACCACCCGCACACCTGCAGCCACCACACTGCTCCAGCAAGACCTGGGGAGCAGCTGAACACGCAGCAGACAGCAGCAGGGTGTCGAGTGACCTCGGTCCCCCGCTGTCCCTAGAACAGCCCCAGACACAGCCATGCTGGGAGGGGCCCTGGCCACAGTGCGCAGTCCCACGGATGACGGACAGCAGCCCCTGCTGACCCCCACACACCCTGGAGTCTCTGCTGAGGCCCCCAGTGACATGAGTTCCTGGCCCACAGTAGGGCTGCTAAGCTTTGGGGTTCACATCCTCAACAAAGGGGCTCTGACCCCTGCCTAGCCCAGCAACTCCAGATTTCTTCTCTGTAAAGCAGAGGGAGAAACCACAGCCTCGCAGACACACGTGGACCCTGTGTTCCCGTACACGGCTATGTCCTTTGACACTGGAGATGCCCCAGTGTTGTCTCCCACGCCTGTCTCCGGGTGTCCTCCCCTCCTGCCCAGCCCAGCCTGCCATAGACAAGAGGAACACAGTGCAACCAACATACTGAACGGCGCTCTTGAGTCCCAGCTGGCAAACACGGGGCTGGGTGCCAGAGCCACTCTCTGCTCCATCCCAGCCCCCGTGGACTGTAGCACCGAGGGGCCTCATGCCAGCCCCCCTTCATCCCTTAGTCCTTGTCGCTGGGAGGACCTGGTGGTTCGCAGACAGACTTCCTCCCAGCTGCAGAGCCCTGGCCCTCCAAGGCAGCAGCCAAGGCACCGCCCCAGCATCACCAAAGCTGTACCCTCAGTGTCACAAAAGAAATCACCTCTGGCCCCAGGTCCCTGGGAGCTACCCCCACCCCTCATATCCAGCACCCTCATGTGTGGCTTCTCTGCATCCCCTCTCATCCTGTCAGGGTCCCCCAAACCCTAGGATGGCAGCTTGGACCCAGCTGACCTCCTCAAGGGCCTCTCCCAGGCATCCTCCAGCTCAGTGGCTCAAGACTCCCCTGCCCTCTGCCCTGCCTCTCCTCCAGGCATGGCCCCCACAGCAGCCCCTCACCTGTCTCTTTGGGTCAGCACACCTCCTTCCATCACCTGCACGTCTGGGCTCCCAGGGCACCCAGCAGATTTCAGTGACTGGGGTTTCCACTTCACAGGTGGGGGAGAGCAGCTCTGCACCTCCCAGCCTGGCACCCCAGCTCAGTCCCACCGCCCCACTTACCACTAGCAGGTCGGTGCTAACTTCTGTCCTCCAGGCTGGAAGCCTGGCCCACTCCAGTTCTCCGGCTGCCAAGAACCACCTCTAATAGCCCAGGGCCGTCACGGTACTACGCAGCAACACAGGGCTAATGCCTCACATATGGCTGCAGGGCCCCCAGCCACCCAAGCCCTCCCAAGCTGGGATCCAGGGCCTGGGGCTGGGACTCACAGATGGATGACCTGGGTCTGTCCCAGGCAGCCAGTACCTTGTGAGGGTGCAGTTATAGGGTGTGGGGAGTGCCTGGTGCCGAGTGGTTCAAGGATTCCAGCCTACGTGTTCCTCTCCCCCTGCTGACATCTGGCCGGTGACCTGCACTCTGGAGTCAGGACACGCTCTCCCCATCCTGGGGACTTGCGGCTCTGACTAGCCCAGGGGCTGGGGGTCCTTGTTCTTTTATCTGAAATCAGGGAGGGCGACTCCCCCCATATCCAGCTAATAAGATGTCAGACGCAATCTCAGATTGGAATGTCCTCTGGCAGGACTTTTAAAACCGCAGGAGGCTGGTGGCCCAGGGTGAGAATCTCCCCAGGGGCCTGGAGGCGTGGAGCTGAGGGGAGGGGCGTCCCTGTCCCGGCTTTACCCAGGGAGGGGAGACCTGGTGCCTACTGAGCCTTTTCTTGTCCCCAGCTGATGCAGCCCCTGCCCTGCCCAGGCCTGGCTGTGGGATGGAGCCTCTGCTTCAAGAGGTGCCAGGAGCACGAGGGTCAGGAGTTCAAGGTGGCCCTGGGCATTACAGCAAGACCCTGTCTCAAACAATGAAATAAGTACATGAACTAAAAGAATAAAAAAAGGGATACCGGAGAGAGTTCAGAGCCTGGGGTTCAGAGGGGACACAGCATGGGTGTAGGGGCCCGGCAGGGTCAGATTCACCTAGGTTCAAGGTGAGGTGAGAGCTCAGGTGGGGACTCAGTCACGCAGTGGGCAGGGGATCGAGGACCCCAACACAGGCCCTGGGCATGGGGGGGCTGGGGCACAGTGGCCCCAGAGGAGACTACTGGCCTGGAGAGATGAGGCAGAGCAGGGACTCCCAGTGCCATGGGGCCACAAATGCTCCCTGGACTCCCTACCCTGTCATGGAGGGCTTCTGGGTAAAATCCCAGGTGCCCCAGCCTGAGCTCTGGGGAGCCCTTGAGAGTGTCTGGGCCCTTGTGGGATGGAACAGGGGCAGGCGAGGGCTCGTGGCCTCACAGCCAGGTGTTGTCCCTGGGGAGTGCATCGCTCCTTCTGAAAGCCCCAAGAGAGGACATCTGGGCTGCAGCTAACCGAGGAGGCTCTTGGACCAGGATGGAATCTGGGGTACCCGAGGCCAGGAGGCAGCTGCCCTTACTGGTATTGGGATATCTGGGAGAGGAGAAACGGCCACAGGAGGTTCAGCCCCACAAGTGGCCAGAGGTATAGACAGGCTCTGGGCTTGCTGGAGGCAAGAACCACGGGAATCAGGGTGAGGTGGACCGGCTTCTGCCTGTGCCAGGCCTCACAAACCATCTTGCATTCCTTGACTTTCCTCAGGGAAATCAAGGGACAAGGGACAGGGAGGAAAACAGGGGGATCCCATAAGTGCATCCAGGGTCTTGGTACCACCTCAGAGGTAGCACATGTGTGGGCCTATTTTGCTGCTGGCTGTGTGATCGGGTGGACCTCCTTCTGGGCCCACAGCCAAAGCCTCTCAGGAAGTGTGGGACCTTGGCATCTGCCCCAACACCCTCTTCCTGGAACTCAGTCCCTTGGCCACGCCTGACCCACTCATTTCTGCTCCTAAAGCCATGACAGCTTATGGCTGGCTCATTATACTGCCCCACCGTGACCTCAGGTCGGACCCTGCATTCCCGCCTGGCCTGCTCAGAGTGAGTTATGGGGTGCAGGGCCGAAGAGCAGACGCCGCTCTTCCA